ATGATTCTGCTGTTTATGGTTTCTTTTGGCTACAAGTAATTCTGTGTCTGTTAAATAGCCGATAGGGCCTTCCCACTGATAGGAGCGTATTCCAGCACGGAGCCGAAGCCACAGGCAGGAGGATGACAAACAGGAGGCATACCAGGTACAAGGCAGGCATCCCTCTTAAATTCACTTGACTCCTCTGCTGTTTTATGGGCCTTGTTCTCCCCTGCTCGCACACTTGTATTCCACTGGTGTCGGTACAGCGACTTCAGTGAAGTCCTCCTGCGTAAGAGCACTTCAGACCCTCCAGACACAGAATAGAAAGGCTTTTCATGCCGTGGCAGAGCCTGACTTCATCCCCCCCCCCTCCCCGTACCCTCCCCTCCCAGCATCACACCTCTCAGGTTTATTCTCCACTCTCCATCTCTCTGGCTGTGCAGAAATGTTAAGCCATTGGTGTAAATGTTTGGTTTGTTGGGTTTTTTTTATTTTTTAAAAAAAAAGCCTAGTTATTTTTGTTACCTGCTTTGTTGAGGGAGCTGCAAGGAGCTCACCACCTTGCTTTGGTCCCCCTGCCACCAGCGAAGCAGTGGAGACCTGGGCAGGGGATCTGGGGAAGCGCCTGCGCTGTGGAGACACAGCCCGGGGGGGGGATGAGGGGAGGGATGCTGGAGAGCTGCAGCTAATTACAGTCAAAAATCATAACTTTAGACAACTCTAATGTTTGCAGCTGGAAAGACTTAAAAGCTATTTGCCTCTAATCTCCCTCTGACAATCAATGAATTGAACAGTAAATGTTATTAGACTAATTTACTGTTCATCAAGAGTAAGAAATGAATAGAATAATTTACTATTCATACATCCAACTGTGTGACATGTGTACAGATCAGTTTGAAAGAAAAAGCAACATTAGGGTTCCAGTTCCCCTCCCATACCTTTTTTTTTATTCCAGTTTATCTCCATTCTCATCCATGAAGCTGCTCTGGCTTTGTCCCAGTGGCAGAATGACCACATCTGGTTGGGTACACATCTGCTTGGGGACACAGAGGAATTTGCTACCTACCCATCAGTATTTTCCACTGGGGGAAGCAGTCACCGACTGCACAGCTGTAGAGGCAGCCCCTGCTAATTCTCACTATTCCTTGTGGGAAGCATTTAACTCTGCTTTTTGGGTAGCTCCCTTGGGGATGCTGCGGTTGCATTACATCTTGAGCACCTCATCTTTCTGCTGTGGCTACACTGGTTTTTTGGGAGTTTGGAGCATACAAGGAATAAATTTTATTAATTTTCCTTTCTAGGCCAAAACCAGGATAGTGTTAGGCATTTAGAAATGCTGAAAAAGCTGCATTTCTTATAGTATCTGGCAATGTTCATGTGTGAAAAATACAACACAGCCTCTCTGGTCAAATAATCTCTGAATGTTTTAGATATTAAAGAGAGAATATGATACCATACCGACTGCTTTCTGGATGCTGCAGACCTCAACACAAGAATCATAGCATCATAGAATGTGTTGGGTTGGAAGGGACCTTTAAAGGTCATCTAGTCCACCCCACTGCAGTAAGCAGGGACATCTTTAACTAGATGAGGTTGCTCAGAGCTTTATCAAGCCTGACCTTGAATGTCTCCAGGGATGGGGCCTCCACCACCTCTCTGGGCAACCTGTTCCAGTGTCTCACCACCCTCATTATAAAGGACTTCTTCCTAATGTGTAATCTAAACCTACCCTAGGAGGTTTTAAACCTCTAGTTTAAAACCATTGCTCCTCATCCTATTGCTACGTGCCCTTGCAAACAGCCCCTTGCCAGCTTTCTTGTAGGCCTCCTTCAGGTACTGCAAGGCCACTATGAGGTCTCCCCAGAGCCTTCTCTTCTTCAGGCTGAACACCCCAACTCTCTCAGCCTGTCTTTGTAGGAGAGGTGCTCCAGCCCTCTGATCATCTTCATGGCCCTAAGGAAAACACACGGAGAAGTGTGGTCTGAAATGGCTGGAACTGAGGTTCTCAGTGGGGTTCACGTTGCTGCTGGTGAGGATGCCCTTCCAATCCTCAGTCATGGTTTCTGGGGTCAAAACTCTGGGCTTCCTGGCTATGGTAAGAGGTATGGCAGCCCTGGTGACCTTACCTCCCAACCCGGCACAGGACCCATATCCTCTCTATTAATTCTCCTTGGCTAAATTAATTTTTCTGCAAGTTGCACCAAACAGAAGCATTTTTTTTTTAGTTCAGAGGAAATAGCTTCTAAGTGCGCACAGACAACTTCTCACTTCAGCTGCATAGTCTTCCCAGCACCTCAAGAGATCCCACAGTTTTTGTTTTGATAAACAAGATGCCACCTACCATCTGCCATCTCCCATTGCCTCCGTCAGGGAGTGCGGGCTGGAGAATTCTTCCAACTGGAAGACTCTCAGCTGTCTCTGCACTTCAACACTATCCTTTCCTGTAATCTTTAAAGGTCTGTCCACAAGCTCCGAAATGCTACTATTGAAAAGCGAATCTGACAAAACCAAAGATTCAACCTTTCAAGATTTAGGATTGATTTTTCTTTTAAAACTATAAAAAAAAAATCAGCAACAAAGCGGAAAGTACAGTTTTATCTTTTTTTCCTAATTCTGAGCTACTTGCTTTTTACAGGACCTGACAGGCTCGTTTTTGTCTTTCTCACACAGTAGTGCCAGTAAGAGAGATCCCACCAGCCAAGTGCCACTTCGAGCCTCCCAAGCAACTCATTCCTCAGAATGACTCCCTTCATGCACATGACATGTAAGAAGAGCTCGGCAAGTTCCTCGGGACGAAAGCTTTCCTCCCAAGTTGTCACTGATGAAGAAGAGCCCCAGAGCCAGTGATGCTCCGGTGGAATTTGCCCATTTCTGCGACTAGCAAAAAGGGGACCTGATGCAATTTCCGAGCCACACCACTTCTGGAACGTGCCCCACACAGTCTGGGTTCATCTGAGGCCACTCATCTTGCAGGACCGTCCACCCCGCTGACCCCCGTGTACCCGAGTGGCAGTCTCTGAGCCAGGTGAGATAATTTGCAGTAGAGTTTCAGCTGGTGGTGGCACAGTCATTACGAGTGTGCCATTACTGGGACGGCGGTAGCGAGGAATCGTGCCAAAGGCTGGCTGTGATCGTGTAAATAGTTCATGGAGGAACACGGGGGTTATGATGAGCTTGTGCTGGAGGTGGGGAAGGCACCTGGGAGAAGATGCTCGTGCTGGGGTGGGAGCCTGGGCACAGCTCCTGCCCTGGAAGGCAGAAGTGTTGGGCTGCACGGGGCAGAGCTGAGCTGCAGCCAGCTCCCGTTTCTCTGCTAGGCAATGTTTGAAAAACAGAATCAACACATCAAATGAGGTGTCATGTAAGTTTTCCGTGTCAAGGAAAATAGCCCGAGGCCCTTCTTCCCACATTTGCTGCTACAACAGCCAGACAACCTGGCCCTAAAATTTATTCTGGTCTTTAATCAGGCGAAATCCCTGTGATCGCTGAGGCTGGGCTTCACGGTTTTGGAAAGAGATTATACAGTTTACTAGAAGGAAGGCGCTTGCCCACTGTTCTTGAGGTCTGTGGTCACTGTGAGAGTCACGCACGTTGTGCACTGCCTGCTGAAAAACTGGAAATGTTCTCATTTGCCCCAGTCATCTCTCTGCAATAAACATCCAGCGTAGCTGCTTCAGAGCCATTACTCATGCTATGTTTCCTTCTGTATACACAAAAGCAGATGCTATCCAGCACCCAGATGACCCCGAGTGCTGCTTTCATCCTGTGCTACTCTTGCTTTATTATTTTTTTTCCATGGCCTTTGTGTTGAAGTTTACCTTTCCCCATGACTGTGTTGCTCCAAGAACAAAGCTCCGCAGACCAGGCACAGCCGAGCTGCACAGGATGCAAGGTCGCTCCTACTCTTGATTTTTTTGCTCTCCAGTTTAGGGCACAAATACAATTTTCAAGAGTGAGATTTCCCTTCCATGCGCACATCACGCTTCGCTTTCCACCTCAAGCAGCTATTTCACGGGTTTCTTTTAACTTGGGATATTGTGAGATGACAATTTTCCCTTTAGGAGAGAACAGCAACCTGAATTTGTGTCCAGCTGACGCGGGCTCCAGCCCCGGCCAGTCCCAGTGGAGCAGGAATCTCAGGTTCTCAGGACTCTGAGTCATTCAGGGTTCTAAAATGAACACACTTTCCAGGAGAGAAAGGACATAAAGCTAGCTATGAGCCTGGGTTTAAAAAGCAAACAAACCCTAAACAGGCTTTTAGGCCATTGTGCGATTTCTCCGGTAGGCAATATGGTTTCTGTGTAGGTATAATAAACCTCAGTAATCAGTATTGCTCTGAGCTGCCACAGCCCACTCTCTCCCATGGTGCAACCCTGGTCGCTCTCACTGATGTGTGCTATTTCTGAACTAAAGCATAAGGTTTATCATCCCTGCTGTTCTACCCTGCAAGCAGGAGTAAAGAAAGGTCGACTACTGTGTTCAGGCAGCATCAAATTACTGTAAAACAAGTGAGATACTGCAGCGATATATGGTAAATCTCAGCATCTTCAGTTCTCTTTCAGGTTTTTATTTTAAATGGGTCACAAACTGTTGCATCCCTATCAGAAACACGAGCCATCAACTCGCACAGCCTTTCCAAATTAATGTACTGCGTGGATTTGCAAATGAAAGTGTTTTGTACCCGGCCATGCCGGGGAGCACCTGGCGTGTTTGGTCTGAGCTATGTAATGAAGAGTTTGGTGTCATAAACCAGCTTCCAGGCTCTCTTGGGGCTTTGTTTGATGAAACAGATGATGGGAAGTGTCCACAGCGATGTGGAGGGTGAGACACACATTAACTCTGGGCTGGGCATTTGAGAGGAATTGGGTACTTCGTAATTAGTGGGTTTTGTTTCTCAAATCCAAGTGGGAGTTACTCACGACCCTGCTGCCCTAACACCAGCCTGCCCACTGCCAGGACAGGCATCCTTCATCTGCACCAGCCAACTGCCCGGGCAGCCCGAGGCTGGTGTGGGTCCTCCCTCTGTCAGGGAGGACATGAACCTTTATCTTTGCGAGCCCAACGCGAACCCCTCCATAGATCTGTGCCTATAGATCTATAGCTCCCCTCATCCATCTCCCTGACTGCTTTGGAGTCCACAGACACAGCGCTCGGCGTAACACCTATAACTAATCGTGCAGCTGCATCCCTTGGGGGCTTGGGCTGTTTTTAATTACTCCTAGTGAGATGCAGGCAGGGTTGATGGCAGGGAGACGCAGCCCACTGGCTCGCTCTCCTTTAGGAAAGCCCAAAGGCTAACAGGGAGCAGGCACCCTAAAGCAAGGGGGAGGTGGGAGGCGTGACGCGGCCAGCGAGTTGGCGTGGGAGTAAATTAAAGAGTAGGAGCATGGATTTGTAGCGGCAGGTGAGCTGAGGGACCCCAGAGGTGACGGCTAAGTGCTCCTCCTGTTAACCTTGGGCCCTTTAGGCACCACGCTGGCACCGTCCCCACGCTGATGTCCACACTGCTGTGACGTGGTGTTAGTCCTAAGAGCAGCACGTCAGCCCCAACCCCTGCAAATCACAGCTTCACCCTCTCCCGGGCTAGTGGCCGTGCCCTGAGCGTGGCCCGGCAGCCCAGCCGGGAGAAGCAGGCATCCCCTGGCAGGGACCTGGTGGCAAATTGCAAAAGCTTTTACAATACTGAGAAAGAAGCTAATTTCTGACTAATTATTTGCCAAACAACATGTAATTAAATAGTGCAGAACTGTCTGTGATGCATCTTTGGGTCTTTAGGCCATTTATTTATTTTTTTCCCCCCCTGTCTGTGGCACGCTCCTACAGCACTTCAAGGCTACTGCACACTGCAGTGGGGAGGTGGGAGGCGTGACGCGGCCAGCGAGTTGGCGTGGGAGTAAATTAAAGAGTAGGAGCATGGATTTGTAGCGGCAGGTGAGCTGAGGGACCCCAGAGGTGACGGCTAAGTGCTCCTCCTGTTAACCTTGGGCCCTTTAGGCACCACACTGGCACCGTCCCCACGCTGACGTCCACGCTGCCATGAGGTGGTGTTAGTCCTAAGAGCAGCACGTCAGCCCCAACCCCTGCAAATCACAGCTTCACCCTCTCCCGGGCTAGTGGCCGTGCCCTGAGCGTGGCCCGGCAGCCCAGCCGGGAGAAGCAGGCATCCCCTGGCAGGGACCTGGTGGCAAATTGCAAAAGCTTTTACAATACTGAGAAAGAAGCTAATTTCTGACTAATTATTTGCCAAACAACATGTAATTAAATAGTGCAGAACTGTCTGTGATGCATCTTTGGGTCTTTAGGCCATTTATTTATTTTTTTCCCCCCCTGTCTGTGGCACGCTCCTACAGCACTTCAAGGCTACTGCACACTGCAGTTAGCAGTCTGCAGGAGGAGCAGAGTGGTAATTGAACAATTAACAGCAGCGGAGGAGCAGAGTGGTAATTGAACAATTAACAAGTGATGTCATAAAGCATTGTACTTAAAATAAAATGCATAATTAAAATAACTGAACCAAAAAAAAAAAAAGATGCAGCAGCGTAACAGAAAACAGCACTCACACAAAAACGTCGACAATAGGTACTCATGTAGGAACTGAAATATGCAATTTAAAGGAAAAAAAATAGCACCAGAGCGGTTAAACAGAGAGGTGGCACAAACTAGCAAGCATCTCAGTCATTTGCCAAAAAATATAATAATGTTGCAAAAGAACTATTCTCTGCAGTTAACGAGATTGGACCGTAAAACAGTCCTTTGGTGGCTCCCTGCGTCATTATTTGCAACCAAGACGCTGCACTGATGGGCTCAGTGGGATCGCTGGATCCAGCCTTAGATCAGTAAGCGGGAAAGCAGAGTTCCCACCAGATTTCCTGCCTGGAGAGCTGTTAGGATCCGTACTAGTTCTTTAAAGAGCAGAACTGTGTACAATACTGCGCTCAGAACGATCCCGTTAGGAATATAATCTTCTGCTACAAATGAGATGTTTGGGGGAAGAAAAACCACAGGAAAGCCAAAAGAAAATATAACAACAAACCAAGGCTGCTTGACTTAGGTTCACCCTAAAAATGCAATTTTTGAAGAGTTTTGCACCCTGGCTGAATCTCTGCTCTTGGGAAGGCCAGGGAGGGACTTTCTCCACAGCTACTCCCCAAGGCCAGGGTCTGGGCTGCTGGGGCTGGTGTCACCCCCGTGTCACCCCAGGGGTTGTCACTGCCGTGGGGCACCCAGCCTGGAGCCACTGGGTGCCGAGAGGCGCACACACATGCAGTCATCTTCATTCCCAGCATGTAAAGTCCTTTGCTCCAGTTTCTCTGCTTTCTTTCAGCCCATTTTTTATTTTTTTAAGCTCAAGACACTAGAAAGGATTTTAAAGCGTGAGGCAGACGTGCTTTCCAAGAATAATTGCTCTTTGGCTGATGCACAGGAGCTCTGCTCATGCATTTCTGGGAGATGCCTGCAGACTGCTAACTGCTCTGGAAGCCTTTCAGCCTTTGCTGCCTGCAAATGGCATTATTATTCACTAATAGCCTCGGCTCACCATGTTGTCTTTTGGTTAGTTAGCAGCTATTCTGCAAGTCAGAGACAGGCAAGGAGGAACATATGTTTAAGCAGTAGCCAACTTCTGACCTGTAAAAAAAAAAAACCTGGAGGGTTTTCTCAGAGCAATCCCCGCCATTAGCTGAGAAGTGATTAGGAGGGAACATGTCAGCACTGGGAGGGGGTGTCCATCCCACCTCCCACGAAGCAGCTGCTGTTTCTCAGGCGGGTTTGGGGAGAGGAGAAGCAGGGGAGGATGTTCCTGCTGCCTCTCTAGCCATAGGACGGCTGCTGCCGCAGGGTCACGGGGCAGGTGGAGCAAAGGTTTTGTGCAGGTAAAAGAGAGGAGACGTAACGGGGTGCCTGGCACCAAAAATCCCTGGCACAGCGTTTCCAGATCTAAATGGCTACCCTTTTCAAAGCGCTTAAATGACAAGTATTCGTACATCTCATTGAAAGTCAAGGGGACTTGATGATAAAATCCTTGCTGCTTTGTTGTTCTTTTCTAAAGGTTAG